CAAAAGTAGTGAAGTCTGGAACGAATCGTGACGTTAAAGTAGGTGTTGCCGGACCACTGTAAGTAAAAATAAAATAAAAATAACAAAAATAAAAAAAAAAAAATTAACTAAAGATGAAAAAAAAAATAAAAAATCAAAACAATCCAAAGTAAGTTACCTAGAAGTTATAATGTTTTGAGGAATAATATTAGATGTTGCTTTAGTGTCTATGGATATTGGATCAAGAGTTGTTGGTGTTTCTTTTTCAGGTACTTCTTCTGGTGCTTCTACTTTAGGTTCCTGTTTTGGCAGCAAATCCGCGAGAAGGGCATCTAATTCATCTTTTTTCGACTTTATTTAAAGGAAATAGATAAAATCTATATGATCAGAAATCAATCGAACTAACAATTTCAAAAAAAAAAAAAAATTTACTTTTTCCTTCTGTGATTCTGTCGGTGTCGGAGGAGTACTTTTTCGCCCCTCCCTAGCTTTCCGAAGCTCCTCAAGTTTTGCCCTTTTTTTCTGTAATTCCTCTTTTCTACGGTCGGCCATTTGTTAGTTGATAATTCTTGGATATTTTCGTTTTGTTTTTGTTGTTTTTATTTTTTTTGAATATTTGGATACAGGACTATTTTAGATTTTTTTTTTTTTACCGATTTATATAAATATTATTACGCCTTTAAGTTAAGTAGATTTAGACTGTCGTTACATGTGTCTCTAGAAGATCAATCTTCCCAAATTGAGGGGGTATCGAATAAAAAGGCTAGATTACTTGAATATAGAGGTATAGATCGTACAAATACACAATGTGTATGAAGCCATTGTATCAGGTTAATGTTTCTTTGTTCACATTAAGGGTTCGCGCAATCATCCGACGACAGCTCGCTAAATAGATCATTGTTGGTTGTAGATCATTTACTGGGTGTTAGTTTTTTTTTTTCTTTTTTTTCTTTTTCTTTTTTTTTTTTTTTTTTTTTGCCGGGCATAATTGAATATTCGTCCGAGATTAAGTATCCAACATCTAGGTGCTACAACACAACAGTAATCGGTATCTAATGCAGATGACTTTGTAATCAAATTGAACCAAAGTGAGTTTAGGGCTGTGTCAGATTCTCCGGATTCGGATTGTCATCAAGTCATAGAAAAAATACGGAAGTTTCCAACAATGCAGTAATTTGTAAAAAATAATAGTAGGAAAAACTGAAAAAGAGCTGTTTACACCCATTTTGAATATGAATTATTAATGCATTTAATATATACGTTTTGTAATTTAATAAATTTAAATTCAAACCTAAATTTCATAAGTATTTATCAAATTTTTGTCGCATTACTTATTTGTTATACAAGGGTTATTAGAAAATATGTTAATGATCATACGTACAGACTAATTTTTGTTACAAGCTCGCATAATAATATTTATTAAAAAAACAGTATAAGATATGTAGATGACAATTTTCACTTAAGCTGTTCAGGAGTAACACTTGGAGTTCTTGGGATGAAGCCTTATTAAATAAAGCATACCGTTATTCGTTGTGCCCAGCATTGCACTTTGCAATTATAGTTTGAAATGGTCTCTTTCAGTAGTACTAATGTGGAATAGACCATGTTACATGTCCAAGTAACGCTTGACTCCCTATGCAGTGATTTTGATTTTTTTTTCGCTATCTAGACGATCGTACGTGTGCATCATGAGCTTAACGCATTTTGTTACACACCTTCAAACAATCAATTTCAAAAATATACGTACGCACGTACTTATCTACTTCTAAATGATTATTGTTTGGGTGGGTGTGGGTGTGGATACATATTGCTAGTTACTGAATTTACTGACATGTGATCAAACCAATATGTCATAAGATTTTAAAATTTTCTTTTGTTCGTATAAGATCTAATTAATTTTATTCTAGTATATGAGTACTAAGTTGGACATGGTTTGCTTTTCGAACTTAATTTTTCAAATACTGTATTTAATTTGAAGTTTTGTAAATTTTACTGTAGAATATTACCATATATTTTCGAAATTAAGCAACCCCCTCTAATCCATTTTAAAATATCAGATTAGTGGGAATAACTTGGCTAAAAATTTCAATATGATTTCCACTAATCTGACATTTAAAAAAAAAAGGGTAGAAGGTGCTTAATTTCGGGAAGTATACGATATGCATTTTTTAATAAAATTCAGTATGTAATTAGCTTATAATAATATAAGATTAAATTTTGTTAAAATATTAGTTAAAATAAATTTAATAGTCATATATTTATATGCTTATACGTATATTTAGATTTAATTGCTATTTTAGATTTATATCATTATTTTACGTACCAACTTTTTAAATTATTTTATTATTACCAATTAATAGAAACAATTTATTCTTCACCCTGGAGAATATTTTACCCCTCTTAAAAGACAATTTACAGCAAACCATTAATAGGTTAGAGTTATGGGTTAAGGTTAGGGTAAAATTGCGTAAGTGTTAGCACCTTGAAGGTGGTTTTATTAGTAAAATTTTAAAATCTTATAATGTAAATGAGAATGTCAAAAATCATCCCGAGTGAGAAATAAATATTCTATATACTAAAAACTTTGTATTAAATATACCTACATAAGTTATATATATTTAATAATGAAATTTATAATTATACACGTAGTGTATGTTACGCGGTTATTAACAGTTAATTTGCAAACCAATTTCTATGGTTAGGGCAACGGTGGGTTTGGGATTGGAATGAGATATAGTTTATATCAAAATTTCACAAAAAATTTTTTGTTAGAAGCTAAAAGTGGTTTCATAATCGAATTTTGAGATATCGATTGGCTTTTCATATTACCTGTGTACGTACACCCTCATGTACAGTACAAATAGAAATTACCTTTTAATATATTTATTATTAGCCAGGATATTCAATACTGTAAATTAACCAATCACATAAATAAATACCTTTCTGATCGAATTGGAACAAACACACGAAAAAATCGTATTTGGACTTTGTCGAAATAAGTTTGGAGTTGGGTTCAAAGATGCTTGTGTGAAGTCAACGCAAAAAACGGGTTCGGCAACCCTAACTGAAAATGCCACATTTTAAAAAAGATGATACTGGTAAATGGTAAATGATTCCAACCAATAGAAAGTGATAATTAGTTAAATGCTGTTTATTGACGAACCAATAATATACGCAGTTGGTTGGCTACTTTTAATATAAATATGAAATATTGCATCGAACCCAGAATAATTTCTATATCTTTGCCTTCAAATACTGGTAAAAATAAGATTTTGATAATGGTTCGCAGAATGGAATGTCCTGGATTTTAAATGATGAAGCGAAAGGTCAAGAGCGTGTGAAGGCACTGAAACTGTTAGGGAGCAAGGAGTTTTTATTATAGAGGTACGTACATACATGCTGTAAATGAGGACAGATTTGAACTATTTAGTGTTTATTGGTAGAATTATTTATATAAACCTAACTAATGATGCAGGCTTCATTCAGTCACTCAATGCGCTGTATATTAAAAAAACCAGTTTGACAAACTTTTCTGATTGCAAATAAGTTACAACAATAAATATGCACCTATAACCCTAACCCTAACTCTTATCGTGAAATCTAATTCTAATTCTAACCTTAACCTTAATTATTCTCATCATTAAGTCGTTAAATTCTAAATTTAATTAAGAGAACTCAAGTTCCATTCCCGCCTACAGCATATATAAGAAATTGGTAACACGACAGGCCTTTCAAACTTTCTTCACCCACAAGGTCAGTGTTGGAATACAGGTGAGCTTTTAAGCTTTAAGTTATTAGGTCTAGACGAACCAGTGACATCCTAGTTAATCACTATCACTAGTTACTGGCTTTTATGCCATGATGATAAAGATTGAGAGTTTTTTATGAATTAGACAAATTAACGCATTTTCTTCGAGAGATGGTCAAACAATTGAATTGACAGAACCAATCACTTTGTATTATTGAAGAAAGAACTTTCAAAAATAATACTATATATATGTATATATAAGAAAAAAACTATATCACCGGTGGAAATCACAGATCATGGATTATACACAGTATATAGCATTTGCTACTATAGTATTTATATATAATTGGCTATATTAGCAAAGAAATAAAAAATAAATAATAAATTAATAAAATAAAAAAAAATAGCAAAATCCGAATAAGAATGTGTATCATCTATCTCAATTATATTATTGATTTATCCAACGATACGATCCCAAGTAAGACATTATGAAATTAAGTCAAATTAAATGGTTCGATACAGTTCTCCGAAGAAAGTTATAAAACAGATAGGTGAATTTTAATATTATAAAATATTGAATAAACATTCTAATTCTGATCCAAAGTCATTGATCATTTAATTTTTATCGTCATCATAATCATGCAACAAGTTTTAACACATTTATGTTTATTTGGAATATTTGATAATTCGTCAATAGATGGTTTACTAATTATTTATGAATAGGAATAGGTTCGTTTTCAATCCAATAAATTGCCTTGATCTTTAAGGAACGTATATGATAAACAACATATATCGGTATTTTTTTAATTCGATACAAAATACATCAATATGCAGTGAATGTTTGATGATAAGTGTTATATAAATTCAAAGTGTTGAGCTATCTTGTTTATTGCACTTAAGGAACTGACTACTTTCGACACACAAAAAAGTGCGACTTTCTAAATGATTAAAGCTACACAACAATCAAGGGCGATCAGGTAAAACTATGGCGATATTCATTGCGAATTTTGAATAAAATATTACAAGGTATATCTAAAGACAAAGCACATACAGTATTTATTTACCTGATATAAATTATCATCAAGTATTGAGGTTGAGAGACAGGTAGTAAGCATAATTGTTCGCATATATGTTGTGCCTAAAATTGCTATTGCCCGAACACAGTCGCACTTATATTCGAATCTTATTACTACGGGCTAAATTCTCGTGCATTTCCCATCAGAACAATAGAATTTTATAAAGAACGTGATTACAGTAATAGTTATATCCTGGGTAGTAGGTATAAATGGAAATGAATTTTCCGCTTATACATATCGTACCCAGGGTATAACTGATTTATACCCTGCGATCTTGATATATAGTTACCAGGGTATAAAATGTATTACACTCTCCTTCATTGGCTTCTCTCGTGAAACTTAATGCGAAACTGATTTCAGGGGCTTGAGTGCGACAGGGGACAACTTTAGACACAACATATCGACATATTCTACTGTATTTCCCATAGATAGCCAATCATTAATTTGTTCCGACAAATCACGCGTATTTGACGATTTGACGAGCTGAAAATAAATATCTGAGCAATGCTAGTAGCGTGAACTGTCCCTACTATTACTGGACAACGATTAAACAATTAAAAAGAATCAGTTGGAAATAACGGTGTCCAATGCTGTACATAACAGTAAAGAAGACGATCCAACTTTTATCAATCTGAACATACTCCTGATCTCCATCGACCTGCCTTTTTTTCATATTTAGGATTTGTCAACTTTAGCCGCATAATGAAGCTGAACAGACCAAAGTCAATGGAGCTGTGACTTAAAATCGTGTTGAGCTACAACTTAGATAATAGTAATTTTAATTGTCATATCGATGTAACATAGTTTGAGCTATGGCTTTTAAGAGCCAAGCCGAGCTATCCAAATAATAGTTCTATTTATAAATAGCTTGAGTCATTTATTTTTTATAAAAATCCAGATTTAGGATGTTCCTAAGTAACTTTCTTAAAATTACTCGTTATTAGAATGATTATAGTATTAACGTATCGTGCCATAAAATTTGGACTTTTGAAAAAATAGAACAAATAATTTAATCTTACATTGCGAAATAGAACGATTTAATAAACACGCCATGAAAAACCTAATAATTCCAAAAATTTGTCGAATATATTGTAATGTTCATTTAGTATTTACTATAAAGATCGCCTATGAAAAGGGTACTTTTAGTTAGACTCAGCAAGTTAACAATCTCTGTAATTGAACTGAGGCGATGGTTTATTTTTTAGTATTCCTTCAATTTCTTCTAAAATATCTGGTGTCAACCTGCCCACCAATTTTACAGCTTGAATATTTTCTTCTATTTGTTCAGGTTTGGATGCACCAGTGATCACAGTGTTAACGTTTGGTTGTTTAATACACCTTATTTTTGATAATAAAACAAAAGTTTAAATACGTGCGATGATTTTTCCGAACTCAAATAAATAAAGAAAATTACCAAGCAATAGCAAGTTGGGCAGGTGTCATCCCGATTTTATCAGCAATAGGCTGTATTTTATTATTTAAAAAGCATTAAAAGCAATTTCAAAAAAAAAAAAAAAAAAGGTAAATCAAAACTTTGTGAAAACTTGCCTTTAATGTTTTTATTTTTTCAATCTTAATTCTGCCTTCTTCACTTAACAATCCATCCTTTAATCGCCGCATAACAGCATTTTCTTCTAATGCTAATCGAGAATCTTCAGCTATTCTTTCGTTATGTTTACCAGTTAAGATACCGCCAGCAAGAGGTGACCACACTGCTGCACCCATTTTGAATTCTCTAAATAAAGAAGTATATTCTAGTTCGACACGTTCTCGATGAAACAAGTTGTATTGTGTCTATAATATCCATTAAAATCATTAGAATTTAGAAAATAGAAAATAATCGAAACTATTGAAAAAATGGCAGCTCACTTGTTCAGCCTTTATAATGACGGAAGATATTTTATATATATATATAAATTTTAATAAATTAGAAGGCAAAAAAGCTGATCAATATATATTAGTAAGAAAATTACCAATGGGGGAATGAGTAAAAATTTGTTAGCAACACCGTAAGCTTCTACTATTTGATGAGCTGGCCATTCAGAAGTTCCCCAATAGAAAGCTTTTCCTTGATTAATTACATGGTTGAAGGCGCGAACTATTTCTGTCATTGGCTATTATTATAAAATGAACATGATTAAGCACCAAAATTTCGAAATAAAACAAGTAAAATTCTTGAACGCACGGTATCAGGGTCAGGCCTATGAGCATATACAATGTCTACATAATCCAACTCCAATCTTTTCAGAGACGCGTTTAACCCTTCAATAATATGTTTTCTGGACAATCCCCGATCATTTGGTCCTTTTCCGCCCCAAAAGATTTTGGTGGATATCACAAAATCAGATCGTTTCCAACCCAATTTCTTGATTGCGTTACCCATATCAATTTCAGATTTTCCACCATCGTAAACTTCTGCAGTGTCGAAATAGTTAATGCCATTGTCAAATGCTACCTGCATGCATTTTAGAGTTATATCTGGTTTTGTTCATAACAAAGAATTTCAAAAAAGTAGACATCATTGGTAAAAAAAAATAAAAAATAAAAAATTAGTAAAAAAAAAGAAGTCCAATTACATGATTATATTTTCATACCTGGTGAAACTCGGCCAAAGTTAACCCAGCCACCAAGAGAAAGAACTGAAACTTTGAGTCCACTATGACCCAAATATCGGTACTCCATTTTGTCAATAATCTTTTTCGAGGTTAGTTCCCACTCCAGCTTGAAAAATTTTTAAAAAAAATCCGAAATATCGCGTTTTATTCAAAAAAATTTGCTGATATTAAAAATAATATGAATAATGATAGTAATCAAATGAGATTTTTAAGCAGACATTAACGTTTTAAATACACGTTCACGCCTTCGCTCTCATAATAAATGTAGTGCAATAGGACAAATTAAATTCCGAAAAATATCTACCGGATATACTTTTTGCCAATTGCTGAATTATAAACCGAACCTGGAAAATCAGGCGGAAATGTGAGATATATATAATTGCATATAAGCTGTGAGTGATGATTACGTACCACCAGGATTCTATCACACCTCTTGGCCGTTTTAAAATTTTGTGCGCATATATGTTACGACATATTTTTAATTTAATAGCATCACATTTCAAGGTAAAATTCATTGATCAAACCCATTCACATTTCCATCTAAGAATCTGAATGTTATATGTAATGTACGTATGTACATACATATTTCAGATATATTATCTGATATTCGATAATACATTCCGGGACTTAAGATGCTTCCGTAATTAAACCATATATTATACAAAATTAGGTCGGTAGGACAGTTCCTTTTTTTGCATCTTAATCTGTTTACCATTAAAAAAAAAGTCTGTCTTCATACGTACAAGAGTGCGTTCTAGATCATCTGGTTTAAATGTAGTATAATAAACTATATATAGTAAAAAAGTACTTAATATGCAGATATTTGTTTATTCAGGGTATTTTAGTACCGGATACAGGGGGTATTATGTTCCGAAGATCCGGATATTCGAATATCTTTAAAATTTTATCGCGTTAAAAACCGACGGTTACATTCAGAATTTAATCCAAGTAGGCGAACAATAGCTTAAAATTATGCATTGTTAACCTACTCCTTATATAGGGATATTTCATACTTGAATATGTAAAGTTACAGCGCTCGTTTGTTATCTATATTAGTTGTAACGCATATACTATATAATTGAATATATCACATGATCCTGAAGTTGGTGAATCCCGAGCACAACGTAAAACAATCCAGGGGCCTGTTACAATCCATCCATCCAAAAATTATTTAATAAGTAAAATAAATAATAACAATAATAAAAAAAAGAAAAGAGGGGAGGTTTACTATCATTATGTGGCATCAGTTAAGTTCATTTACGTACATACGTCGTATGCCTCACTGTTCCTTACAATAGAGTTGAAAAAAAAGCTTTAATCGTCACCTAAATTATGTTACAGCTGTCCTGGTAAAACAACAGCAAAGAGCTTTCCCAGTTTTTTGATCAAATGGACGAACGAACGAAGATAGTATGGTCACATGAAATCAGCCAATCAAGTCAATCAAGTCTATCAAGTCTATCAGTTCTATTTTAGTGATCTAATTTGCCAGTCCAAGTTAGGAACGTGAAAGCCGATCTTGAGCAAGTTTTATAAAAAAAAAAAAAAGATATTTTTAACTGGTCTTTGGTCAATAAGTTATAGGAAACTTTATTTTTTATAGAGATTTATTAACTTTGTACCAGTTTTCGAGTATTTAGATAGGACCGATTAGAGACCGAACATTGCGGAGGAAATTTAATCGATCGGTCCCATCTAAATTATTCGAAAACTAATAAATTAAATTTTCTATCGCTATAACTTATTAACCACCTAGTAGGGTTGTTATGTGGCCTGGTCTAGACTACAGTCTTAGGATCATAGGAGGATATTCGTCTGATTGGTTGATCGATTCAATTGCCCGGGTAACTAATTTATACAGTTTAAAGTACTTTTTAGGAATTCAACGTTTCACTAACAAAAATCAAAAATTTTAATCGTACATAGCTTCAAAAGAATGTTAACAACTATTGTACAAAATAATCAAGAGATAATCAACATTCTCAAGAAGTTTTATTAGAAGAGAAAATATGCCGCCAACTACTCCTCTTATTGGTCTATGCGTTATTACTATTTGCCAGAGGCAGTCGACCCAATGGAGAAGGGTAACTGAGAATTTTCTCGCTAGAGCCCAAGTTAACAATACTTTGCCAAGTTATGTTTACTTAGGTGATACTGTCTGTATGAACTGCTATAATGGAATTATAGTAAACAGTTCTTTTGAATTCAAGCAGCATTCTCAGGTTTCTCAAGTTAATTTGGAAGAGTGTGGGTGTGATGAAATAGATGAGATTGAAATTGAAAATACTAATGTCACTTTAACTTTTTCTCAAGCAATTGCAGTACTAACAAGGATTTTGTATATTCATGAAAGAGAAAAAAAAATCTACAGTGTACATATTTGATGAATTTAGAGAAATCACAGAGAAAGAAGATGAGAGATTAAAATCTTTTTTTGTGAATTGTATTTATCATCTAACCCATCATCAAAAAATAAGAATTCATGAGCACAGGTTAAAAAGCAACTTCTGCTTGTTTGTTATTTTCTTTGTGGGATCCATAACAAGTTTGTGAATAATATCAAGAGGGATATTGCAATGTATTTAGATTCTACTGGTGCTTCTAATGCTTCTATAGATACTCTTGCTAATTTAAGTGTAACCACAACATCTCGCACGATTAACCGGTACAAGGCAGCCATATCTGAAGAGCATGAAAAAACAGTGAATTCTTCGCTTACTAAGTATATAGAGAATGCTATAGTATTAAACATTGATGATTACCACAGTATTTATACAGAGTGAATGCCAAATACAACCACTATGTCAACTGCTGTGCACCTGGCAACAATTTTAATGAATCCAATTATGACGCAACCAGTGATTCCAAAGTTGAATTTACATAACCCTATTCTAGTTGATTCTGAATTAATTAAATTGAATATTCAAAATAGGTTTATGAGATTTTATGGCCTTTCACATAATTAATGCTGGGGATTTCATATGGTTGACGATAATACAAAATTGGAAGAGTTAACCATACATAGCTATGATATTAGGTTAAAAGAAAAACAAGATACTCATTCAATAAAAGATACCTACCATCCTTATAGATTTGTAGAAAAACAATCTTCATACTTTGGAGTCATATATTAAAGCTATCAAAGTGGTTACAAATGTTCCATCTATGCAGCAGTATATTCAAAAAGGGTATATAATTCCTGTTGTCACTGATTGGCCTGGGCAGATTCATCTTTGTATAGCAATTTCATGTTTTATATGTCATCAAAATCAATTAAATATTACTAATAAGATATTGTCTTTTTTTCCTATTATAGGTCCTTTTCATATTTTATTAAATAGCTATAAATTGGTATTTCTTCAGTATTGATCATTTTTTTCAGCCATGTACAGATATATCTTCAGAAAAAATAAGCCTCTTGCACAAAACTCAAAGCTGTGGTGTATAAACCTTCTTTTGGAAATTTCTTGCAGTACTTGGCAGACAATTGCAGCAAATGTTGAAACTAAATTTGAATCCTTGTGCAAAGTTGCTGAATATCTTGCACTTAAGGATTTGCTTGATAATAAATTCCTCTGGTTTTAGATATCTATGCTGTTTTTTTTCAATCTGGTAATTTTAATACTTACTTAGAATTTTGTTTTCACATTTGAACAGTTTTTTTAAATTTAGTCACAAAAATTATACAAAGGCACTATTAATGTTCCTTTTAGATATCTTCTATTAGGAGTTAAATAATTACTCAATTCTAGAAGTTATTAAAGCTGAACTTCTGAAATTTTCAGATTCGACTGTAGAAATCTTCCACAGTTTTCTTTGCAGAAGCATGCAGAAATATGACAATGCACAACAGATTATTAAATATGGACGGTATATTAATTATTTATGCCTGGATGACAACGGATTTAGAGAAAACTTTGTACATACATCTACATGGGCAGTCTATGAGTATTCCGCATACGATATTACAGCATTAACAAACAAATGTGCTTGCTTTCTTTTACAATGTTTTTTAAAAATTTATGTTTGTTTATTTTATAACAAATTATCACTAACATTTCCATTACAGACTGTTGTGAGTTTGTTTTCAAAAAACAAAAGGCAGAAAGTTGATGATGTTGCCATTCCATTATCTGTAATAAGAATGCCAGAAGCACAATTATATCATCTTCTCTTGGGTTTTAATACCTTACATAAACTGGATCCATTTCATTATTGTGACACTTCTAATTGTTTTATTTCTCCATTCATTAATACAGATTCAATTGTTCTAGCTTGTGGCCACAGTTATCATAAATGTTGCTATGCTAGCAATAGGTTTGTATATGTGTATTGTCTCTCATTTTTAAAAGATAGCATCGATATGCATGTACAATCTTTATTGGAACGTTTGCGATATCTTGACAAAAATAAGAAAAAAAAGAAAAAGGCACAAGTTGAAGTAACTCCTTGTGACGACAATGATGAACATATGCTAGTAAAATATGTGGCATTTGAATTGGAGAAGGCATTGCATAAATTTTAATAGCAATAGATCTTTTTATTATTAATTATGAGGGACTAACAAGAGGTTTGTTTCAGCGTGAGGTCATTTAGTATTTTTTATGATTACTAATCATTGGCAGACTTTAAATACTAATTGACCTCATATTGGAACAAACCTTTTGTTAGTCTCTTATATTTTGATCAATAGGAGTATTATTGTTTCATTAATTATATAAGCTAAATGTCATGTTACTTCTCTAATAAAGGTCTAATAATTAAAAATAAGATTGAATTATTTTACTTTTCAAAATATAATGATAATAAATAGTTCAATAATAATTTATTATTAAAAAAAAATTTAATTTTCAAAATATAACAATAATAAATAGTTTCGATAACAATTTATTTATTCGTATATGAATTTTTTGGTCGAATTGAGTTTGGTTTATTAGCAATAAAATATCAATTTGCTACATTTTATGCATATCTATCTATTTCTAAATATCTGATATGTAATAAATTTTTTTTTATTAGTTTGTATACTTCTTTATGTCATTTTTTTATAGTATAGTCACACCCCTC